GAGAGACAAAGAGAGGGAAAATGAGAACTCATCCCCCAAGGGTAACAGCCACCGCAATCCTTTCTCTTCCATTCTCCTATTGGGATTTTGGGTGCATTCACTAACCAGAGAAAGACAGACAGTGGGAAAGTGAAAGCTCATCCCCCAGGGGTGATAGTCACACCATAATTCTTTTTCCTCCATTTTCCTTTTTTTTTGGGGGGGAGGGGCACACATGCACACACACCCGATATGATTATTCAAGCTGCCAGGTACAGGATTCAAACCATCATCTGCTATGTCCGCCATGTCACCTGCTGACCCCATCTTTATTTTATTTAGTTAGTTAGTTGAGCTGAAGACACAAGCTGCTAAAATTCTGAGAAAATAGGTAACTATTTTTTATTTTTTATCTAAAGACTCCCTTAACCCTGGAAGGGAATTTTGATGTTGGCTAGCAAAATAAATAAAACAAGAAAAGAAAAACACAAACATCCAAATTAACATAGATGTAGCCAGTGCTTAAAAATGCAAATACAATCTTAAAAGTCACATGATCTCGGGAACCAGCAGTTAGTGTAATGGCTATGTCGCTAGATTCCCACGTAGTCGACGGCGGTTCGCGTCCCAGACCCGGTGACTTAGAACTCACGCCAGGCATGTGTGCATGCATGCCCAAGATCCCGAGAGGAGAATGGAGGAGAAGGGATTGCGGTGTGACCATCCTCCCTGGGGGGTGATTTCTCGCTTTCTATCTCTATGTCTCTTTCTGTCTGGCGAGCACACGCGCCCTATAGCAAAAACCTCTCCAAAAACAAAAAAAGTCACATGATCTCTAAATGTTATCTGCAAAACTTATTATTTGTCCACTTGAGTAGTTCCTAAGTGCTATTTCAAGCAGAAAATCATCGACTGGCACACTTTGTGGAGTCAAGGTATATTAAATATATCATGTAAGAGGTATTGGTAATAAGAAAAGAAATAGACAGCTGTTTTCTGAAGAAGAAATTTTACTATTCGTTCATACTAAAACCAAAGTAATTTGATCTTTTCCTTTTGAGTTGAAGTTAATTAGACAGAGTGTATGAATCTCTAAGTTTACATACAGCCATTTTGTCTCAATTTCCTATTTTATTTTCAACAGAAAGAATCTGCTTTTTCCAACCAATAAAATATAATGTATCATCTGGTCTTGAATGAGAACGACCTAGTAATGCCAGTTCAAAGTCCAGCTGTTACCCTTGCTCTCCAGCCAAGAGAACAGCATGTGCCTTATTTCCCCTCAGATTGACTTTCATAAGGAAACATTAATTGTCCAATGAGTGAGGAAGCTACGCTTGTTCTTCTAGGACTGTCAGAGGAGCTCCTCTGCTGACTTGACAGGCAGTGATTCCACAGTTGGGGCAGAGTTCTGTTTCTTTCTATTTCAGGAACATTGCTTTGCTGATGTTTGAGTGTTTATATAAAATAGACCCAAATAGGAGTCATCTCAACTCACAGATAACATCAAGTTCATTTTTGTTTGTTAACATGTACAACCTAAGGCCTATTTTTTACACTTCAGGGTTGGAGAGTCTTAGTGTTAAAACACTGATAAGCAGTACTTATTCTTGTTAGGCTTATTTAATCTTATGAATTGTGGACCATTATTATCTTCCTTGACAGATAATGAAATTTAGGCTCACAGAAATAAAAATACTTTCCCCACGATCTCATAACTGTTCATAGGCAAAGCCAGTGTTCAAACCGAGTTTCAGAGATTATGCTCTTAATCTCTAACTGCAGATTCTTTTAAACACATGTTGTTTTGTCCCTTCATTAGTTGTTGTTGTTTAGAGCTACTGGATTAAGAGCTTCACTAAGAGGAAAATATAAAAGGAAGGGGTGGAAACTCAAATGAATGGAAATTCATTCCAATTGCAAACTTCCAATCATAGGAAGGAAGTATCATTATAGTAACAAAATGTTCAAAGTTTTGATATTTTGTGTATCTTCAAATAAATACAAGGGGACTTCAAAAAGTTTGTAGAGGGACCAGCAGTTAGCGTAATGGCTATGTCACTGGACTTGCGTCCTGGACCCGGCGGCTTAAAACTTATGCTGGGCATGTGCATGTGTACCCAAGATCCCAAGAGGAGAATGGAGGAAAAGGGATTGCAGCGTGGCCATCCCTCCTGGGGGGTGATTTCTCACTTTCTGTCTCTCTGTCTCTCTCTGTCTGGCGAGTGCACGCGCCCTATAGCAAAAAACTCTCAAAAAAAAAAGTTTGTAGAAAAATAGTTTATTTTGGTGCAGAAAGTTTTGAAATCCATGCATATTTTTAAAATAATATACCATTTCCATGAACTTTTCGAAGCCCTCTTGTAACTATCATTTTTGCAAACCAGTAAAACCTGATCAAAATATACACCATTCCTATCAGTGTCATTTCATTTCTTTAGGCTATAATCCAGATTTTCAACTGTCCCTCATTAATATCAAAGTCATGGCAAAGGAACTAAACTTTATCTGTTAGCATCTTTATTGACAGTGATTTACAAGGAAAATGTTGGACAAAAGATGGGGATACCAGATCATTTGTGATTTCCCCCCATGTTGTATTATAACATGCTCATTTTCCCCACCCATTGGTATATTCTACACTCACCCAACTGTTTCCTTGAAATCAGCAAGAGAAGTGAAAAAAATCATTCCCTCCAGAAGCCAACAAAATAAAGTTCTGTTTCATTCAATAAATATTTATTAAACATCTACTATATTTTAGGCACAAGGAATACAGAAGTTTAAAAAAATGACAGAAAAATTCTCTATTCTTATAATTGTTCTTATAGAGACCATGAGGCAAGCAAGTCTGAATCTTTTTTTAAAAGAATGATTTATTTTATTTATTATTGTTATTATTTTTAAATTTGCTATAGGGCAAGTGTGCTTACCAAATGAGAGAGAGAGAGAGAGAGAGAGAGAGAGAGAGGGAAAAATGAGAAAGTAATCAGTCTTGAGGTTCAGGCCCCATGGTCAACCACATAGGAGTCTAGTGCCTTAGCCACCACACCACCTGCTGGCCCCATGTCTGAATCTTTCAAGGCATATTTTTCTATATTTATACGAAATGTAACTTTAGAGTATATGTGAGCAGACTTTATCTTTTTGGCAGTCAATTTCCTCAAGGATTAAATTTATCACCGTAGGTTACTATGAGACAAATTTGGCTCTATAAAGCTTATTACGAAAGGAAACCTGAGGTTGGGGAAGTGCTGCTCTTCTGACTACCCCAGTTTTGCTTTTCCATATTGGCACAAGCTAAAATGTAGATGCACACAGTGAAGGAAAGCCCAGTTTTATTGCCATGTGCAAAGCAAGGGGAACAGACAATGCCCCAACTGTGAAATTCCAAGAACATGCTTTTTTAAATGCAAAATTAAAGGTAGAGATCTCAGCTGGATGATTGGTCCAAGGGGGCATGATCCATCTCATGGGTTTTCTTAATTGATGTTGCCTTGGGCTGTTTCTAATTCTGGGAGAGGCAATCATTAGGTTTCTGGCTATGTGATTGTGGCATGCAATTTCCATACTGAAAAACATCTTATGAATTTGACTTAAAAACCTAACTTTTTTCAGGGCTAGCAAATAGCATAGTGGTTCAGGTGCTGGACTCCCATATGGTTGACTGTGGCTAGAATCCTGATCCTGTGGCTTGAAAATCATGCCAGATACATGTGAGTGCATGCCCTAAATCCCAGGAAGAGAATTGGAGAAGAAGGGATTGAGGTATAGCCATTCCCCTCCCCCCACCCCCGGGGGTGATTTTTCACTTTGCCTTTTACTGTCTCTCTCTAGCAAATACACACACCTTAGGAAAAAAAAGAAAAAGAAAAAGAAACTTACTTTCTTCAGTGTTGTATATTACCAGTTCTTCTGTAATTCCTACAGCTGAGGACCTAATTTCTATAACAAAAAGAAAGGCAGAGAAGGGAAGTTACAAGTTATTGGGGGGGGGGGAACCCGCATTGGCCTACTAAGATAATATACATGACTTTACATCAGGAATTTGAAGAGCACTGCAGGAGAAATGGGGTCATGGGTCACATTATAAATCCAGGACCATTTGACAGTCATTTTTGTTGATGGCAAGGGTAAATCTATCGCGGGTAGAGAGGACTTCTCCCCCTTCTGATGGGATACGATGTCACTTTAGTATGTCATTATCTCTGGCCTACCAGTTGCACCAGGTACATCAGGAGGGTGCAAGATCCATGAATAGAGGCACAGTGCCCAGCTAACATGGCATTACCCAGGGGGAGGGTGGCACCCACTTCTCAGCTGCCTGGACTTACTTATGAGTCCAGGTGAGACTTTCCTCAGTTCTCCACCAAGAGTCTGGCCGGGTACTTTTTCTACTAGCACAAGGGAGGATAGGAGCCAGTCCAAAACAGCGTACACACTCAGCACCTCATTTGATCTTTCCCACAGCCCTGGAAGACAAATTTTATCTCCACTTTACAGAGGACAAAGCTGTCGCTTACAGCAATGGAGTCGTGATTCTTTCAGTTTCTAGTCCCGGAAGTAGTAAGACTTCTATCATTTAGTCCTGACAAGCTTTATAAGCTTGCTTGACAGTTCTTTTGCTTATGTATTGTTTTCCTATGTTTCATCTTTCAGTATTTTTATAACAAAAGTATTCTGTGCTTTTTAGGAGAAGATGACAGATGAACCAAAAATGAATATAAGAAAAGATCACCCATAGACAGCTATTGTTAATTTTTTAGTGGATACAGCTTTCAATTATTTTCTACACATAGATCACTAAGTAAATTGTCTTTGTAGCTTTACAAAAATGAACTTATGCCACGTTTGTTTCTGCAAATTGTGTGTGCATGTGTTTAATTTTAGTGTACTATGAATATTTTTTTCATGAAATGGATGAAAAATCTGCTACTTGAAACATGGAGGGTTGCAGCTGCGTCAAAAGACCGATGGTAACAAGAGGGACATCTAAAGAGAAGTATTAGCATAAGACTAAAATACAGGGCCTGACAAATGCCTGCCAGAGCCACTACACATAAGGGATGTCTTCAGTGTTCCTTCTTGGCGCCCTGCAGCCACCCCTGGATTCCCTTGGCCCCATTGGGTAGAAGGGGTCCTGTAAATTTCTTTGCACCCACAAAATCCCCCCTAATTTTTGTCTGCTTTTTCTTGAGCCATCCTCCACTTTAGCCATATCGTCAAATTTTCTTATGTCCTCATTGCTGAAATGCATATTGTGTACAGCCTCTTGATACTTCCTGAGGTACTGAGCCAGCCCCTTGTTGGATTTTCTTTTGGCTTTCCTGGGTACATCATCCTCAGCTGGACACTTTACAGCAGCCCTTGTTTCACTCTCTGGTTTTCCCTCGCTCTTTGACTTTCCCTTGCTCTCTGGCTTTCCCTTATCCTTCAGCATTTCCTCATTTTCTCTGTTTCCTCTGTTTTGTGTCTTTCCACCATTTTCCAATTTCTCCTTGTCTTCTGGAGTACAGACTGCTTCTGGCTTTCTTTCATCCTGTGACTGTTCTTCATTTGCCATCTTGCCTTGCTTCAAAGGCATCTCTTCATTTCTATTGCAGGTTTTTGCCATGTTGAGACTTCACCTCCTTCTCTTGTTCA